GCGAGGAACGGTATAAAACAAACGTTTTCGCTGTCGGGGGCGCCTGTCCCTGGGCGGCTGGAAAGTTGATACCCCTACGGTGCCACCGTAAGGGTATAAACTTTCCAGCCGCCCTGGGACAGGCGCCCCCGACAGCGAGACAGTTTATTTTATACCGTTCTTCGCCCGTTAATTGGTGATGGCTTCCCCTCCGCCTCCGCCTCAGAGGAGGAGCGGGTGCCGACACCGCTGCCCGCCCTGGGGATCTCTCCTTGCCACCGCGGGAGTCTCCTCGACATTCTGATCAGAACGCATCCCAGGAGAAGTCTGAAGTCGGGCCTGTCCCTCTTTAGGGGGGAGATCCCAAAAAAGTGAAAAAATAGTTTTTGGGGTTTCATGTTTTGAGTATTTGGGGGCATCTTTTGAGCAGTGTTTTAGTATGTTTTGTTTTTCGTCGAAAATCCCCTTGTTGGGGGACACGCCCGACTTAAGAGTAGCGGTATCGGTACCTTTTTGTTTCCCCCCCTCCACGTTCCATGGCATGCTGTGGGGGCGCCGTTTCGCCCGCATCATCAACTCTCCTTCCTCCTCCCTTTCCTCCTCCTCCTTTTCCTTCTTTTCCTCCTCCTTTTCCTCCTCCTTTTCCTCCTCCTCCTTTTCCTCCTCCTCCTTTTCCTCCTCCTTTTCCTCCTCCTCCTCCTCCTCCTCCTCCTCCTCCTCATCATCATCATCAACAACATCATCATCATCATCCTTCTCATCCGGTCTCTGGTCGGAACGCAGCGGGCACACGGCTTGGGGGTGGACGTTGCGAAATCTGCATCGGCGGGACTCGCGCTGCGCGCGGCCTCGTTGTTGGGTGTAGCACGGCCCTCGGTCTCAGCCTTGCCCTGCTGGCGGCGGCGTCAGCCAGGCGCCTGGGTGGCCATTCCCATGTGGTCGGGCCCCCAGGGATTTGCGTTTTCCGTGAGAGGTGTTGGCGTGTGCCATGTAAATCCGGTCGGGCTTTGTGTCCACTCACGGCTGCGGCTTTTGGGCAGGCCCAAGTGCGTCAAGGGGCAGCTCCCGTACCCTGAACCGCGTTCTTCGCCTGATGCGAAAGTAGAGCAGTGTCTGTGCGCAGGCGCTGACTCACTTTCAGCCCTCAGCCCTCCTCCTCCTCCTCCTCCTCCTCCTCCTCCTCCTCCTCCTCCTCCTCCTCCTCCTCCTCCTCCTCCTCCTCTTCCTCCAGGCGGTGCACGTCGACGACATCAGCCAGGAGGTCGTCGGGGACTCGATCCAGGAGGTCGTCGCCACCTCGGTGGACGGGGCCCGCGATCTCCAGGCGGTGCTGGAGGGCGACCTGGATATGACGCTGGCGGCGCCCAAGGGCACGCTCCTGGGCAGCTCGGACGAGGTCACCTCGGCCGCTCAGCTTGCGCCCTGGAGCCTTGGGTCGCCTGAGGCCGCCAGGCCAGGCGCGCGGCGCAGACTGCGCGGCGCCGTCAACGCCTCGGAGCGGCACCTCGGCGTGAACGTCTGTGCTGGGAGGCGGCGGCGCGGGCCGCTCGACAGACCAAGCGTTGCCCATCGCGTTGGGCCCGTTCGGCAACGGCGGATCGAGGCCGGCAGGCGCCGTTTGCGCAGGGCCCTGCGGGCCATCAAGCAGGTGGCGGGCTGCAAGCGCACATGTCACTCCGCCATCGTGCCTGCTGCCGTCTGGGGGTGCGAGATCTCGGGCTTCTCGCCGCAGGAGCTTGGGGACCTGAGGGCGAGGGCGAAGGCGCTGGCTGGCCTTCCCTTCATTGCCTCAGACATCCTGGAGGCAGCACTGCCAGGCTGGTCGCCCCTGGGGCGCGCGACGGTGCTCACCGTCGGGAGGTACTTGCGCCGAGGAATGGTGGCGAGCCTCGGACGTGCGCCAACGCAACGGGCGCGTCCCCAGCCTCCCCGAACTTCGTGGGGCGCACGAGGCGGCGGCAGCAAGCCTCGATAGGAAGCGCGGCGAGGCAGGCCCGGCGGGGGCCATGTTCCGCAGTCTCTGTTGGGCAGGGCGTCTGTCTGTTTCAGCAAGTTCGCTCAGCTCTCCCAGCGCGGGGGTGATCAGCGTGCTGGAGACCTCGCCCAGGCAGCCGGCCCGCATTTTCAAGCGCGACGCGCTGGCTCCGATCGAGCTACGGGCCGACGAGGTCATCAGGCGTCGTTCCAGCCTCGGCGCGGACTTCGATGCCATCTGGTGGGGGGGGGCGCCCAGGCGGCTCTCAAGGAGAGCTGCTGCCGCGCCCTGGAGCGCCACGTGTTCGTCTCGTTGTTGGGCGGCACGTACCTGACGGGCGAGAGGGCTCGCGACCTTGGCTACCTTGCGGGCGGCATGTGCGCGACCTGCGGGGTGCCAGACACCGTCGCCCATCGCGTCGGCTGCTGCTTCGCGGCGGGCCGGGCGGCGGAGACTGGCTGGCCTGGCAGTCTTGCGGCTGGCCGATCGCTCGGCGACACGTTGTTGCCGGACCTGCGCTTGCCTTCGCCTTTCCCGCGGCTGCCAGAGCCGCCTCGTGGAGACATGCGCGTTTTCATCGGAGAGCGCGAGGTGCCAGTCAAAGATTTGACCTGCCAGGCGAGAAGGTAGCGGGGGATGGGTCTTGCTCCACCTCTCCTCTTACCTCCCTCGTGCGGGCGGGTTGGGGCGTCCTCCAGTGTCATGCTGTACAGAGCGTCCTACGCTTTACGCATGATCATCGGCTCGACCCCGGCTAGGATGCCACAGTCCGTCGTGCGCGCCGAAAACAAATGCTTTTGTTCACGGGCGCCGGCGAGGTTCGGACGGCACGTGCGCGCACACTGTTGATTGTTATTCGGTGCTGGGGTCGGCCAGGAGTGGGACGGCCAAACGAGCAAGGCCACGGCTCCGTTCGCGGGCTTTTGGCGGGTCCTCCCTCGGCAGGACCCGGCTTGCTTTCAGGCTTGGTCAAACAACTTTTTTTTTTTTCTTTTTTTTTCTTCTTTTTATTTTTTTTTGCCTTCTTGCTTTCAGGCTTGGTCAAACAACCTGGTCAAACACACAGATGGCACGTGCACGTCGTCGACCAGCCCGCCACCGAAGCGGAGTGGGCTGCATGGCTCGTCGACCAGTCCTATAAGGCCGCGAAGTTAGGAGCACCCCTGCACGGCACCTCCACCTCCCTCGTCGCCGACCTCGAGGACCGGCTCGCGAGGATGAAGCAATTCCTCCGAGGCGTCGCCCGCGTATTGTGCACGGGCCCCACCCCGCAGGAAGAATCGGCCGACCTGCGCAGGCCGCCCGCCTCCTCGCATGGCAGCCGCCGTGATCGCCCGTCGCCCACGAATTCGTGGTCGGCAGGAGTCGCTGGCAGTGCGTCCGCTGCCTGCGCTGCGAAGCCACGTGCGAGGCCGGCATCGACCGTGCGGAATACCGAGGGGCCGAGGATCGGCCTCTCGCTTTTTGCCCGCGCGGAGGCCCATCTGGATTCCCACGGCGTCGAACGGCGTGAGCTCTCTGCCGAGCCTGGAGCTCCCGCCGGCGAGGGTTTTGTGTTTTGTGAGAGGTGTTCCGTGTACGCGACCAGCAAGCCTGCTGGTCTCGGGAGCCCTTGCCCCGCCGAACATCGCCCTGGGTGGAAGGTTTGCGAGACGGCGATGCACAAGCGTAGGCGGCTCTTGAAGGGCCAGTCGCGGCGAGGGCGCGGCGATAATCGGGGGCTGGCCGATTTCCCGTAAAACGCTCAAAAACACCAGTGTCTACGTCTGTATAGGCCTGCGCCGGGCGCCGCTTTCCGCTCGATGGCTCCCTAGGGCCACATCGCAGGATGAGGAAACTCCCTCCTCCTGCTCCTCCTCCTCCTCCTTCTCCTCCTCCTCCTGCTCCTCTTTCTCCTACTCATCATCTCGATTGTTCTTATCCGTCCCCTGCTGCCGCAGCGACACACACGGCGAGATCACTTTGCGTCCGCACCGCGCCCACACCGCGCCGAGCGCGCGCCGCTGTGGTCGCGGAGGCCGTGTGAGCGGGCCACGCCTTCGTCTCCGAGGAGAGGGAGGGAGAGAGGGCCCCATCCGTCCACAACAAGAGATGGAGCAAGAGGGTTTCTCTTCCTCCTCCTAATCCTCCTCCTCCTCCTCCTCATCCTCCTCGTTTTCTTCCGCCGCACTCTCCTCGTGCTGCGTGCTCCTGGGCTCAGGAGGCTGTCTGACTGCTCTGGGGTTTTGGTTGGTTCTCGGAGGTTTTCTCGCCTCGAGATTTACTTTCCGGCGGGCTGCACCTCGGCAGGAGCGTTCGGGATCCACCCGAATCGTCCCGAGCGGCCGCCGCAGGCAGGAGCTGATTATGATTAAGTCGGGCATGCCCCCTCCACAGAAGGAGCATTCCAGAGTAATGAAAGTAGTCAGGGTACCATTGTTAGTTTGGGTCGGCTATTCCTGACCATGGTTCGATTGTTTGTTGCGACTTCTCTTCCAAAACCCGGCTGCAGGAGGACATGCCTGACTTACTCTTATGGCCTGACAGCACCTTGGTGGAATGGGTGGGCATGGTTGGCCGCCCGTTTTGGGCCCGACTCGATGGGGCCACAGGGTCGCGCCGCACCGCCGTCGCAGCGGCCACACGGCGCGATCCGGAGTCCGAGTGTCTCCACCTCGCTGCACCACCGCTGCATCGGCGGTGCGGCGCGAGCGGGCCTCCGGTTCCAGCTGCTGCGGCCGCTGGCCCCCCTGGCACGAGGCGTTGACGTGAGTGGCCTTGGCACGAGGTGCCCCCTGGGCCGGGGGGTGGCCATGGAGGCCGCGTCGGCCCTCAGAAAGGCTTGGGTCGAGACGCAGAGAAAAGGGCGCGCGGCTGCAGCATTGCCCTGAGGCTAGGGCCGCTGTGGACCAGAGGGCACCTCCGTCAGCACCCGACCACGGGGGCGGGTCTCGTATCTCGAGGGCAGGGCGTTCTCCTCTACGTCGAGGAGCTGGTGTTTGGCGACGTTGCAAGGGCACGGTTCGTGGGGGTCCCCAGGGGAAGAGTTCGGCGAACGGAAACCCCCTATACCCTTCCGTGGCCCCCCGTGCTCGTCTGCAGTGCCGAGAGTGGTGGCGGGCACTCCGATCCGGGGCGCACGGGCATGGCTCGCTGCCCTGTGCCCCTGCGTGGCCCCCCCCGTGCCGGCTTGCAGTGCCCAGTGAGCCACGAGGTGGGCACCCACTTCCTCTTCGCGCTCCACGAGCTTCTGGGCCACGGCTGCGTCGGCCGCGTCCGGGCCAACGTGCAGTATCCGGACGGCTCCGCCGGCGCCCGAGCGGAGGAGTCCGTCGACGGCCTCCTGGAGGTGGTGCCCCAGGGCGCTCCGGCCCCCGTCTGCTTCCAGCTGTCCGTCAAGACGCGCGAGTGCGCCAGGAGGGACCTCTACGAGCTGCGCGTCGACGGGAGCGAGGTCCAGGGGGGGGCGTCAAAGACCTGCGCGAGCGGAATTGGTACGGAAGGCATGGGTACAATGCCCAGCAGCAGGTCCTGTTCTTGTTGAAGAGGACTCGCTGTCCGCGCCGCCGCGGCTGTGTCCGTTGGGGACAGAAGGCCGCCCGCCCACCAGCGGCCGCTGTGGGTTTGGGACAAGATTTGTTGCTGGGCATTGTACCCATTTTTTCCGTACCCATTTCGGGCGTCCAAAAGGGCGGGGCGTCACATATCGCCAGCAGCCGACATTCCCCCCACCTCTCCTTCCTCCCTGAGCCCGCCGTCTCCCCCAGGCCATTGGACCCCCGCCTCCGGCACTCCCACCTCGACTTCCTGCCGCCTCTTCAGGGCTCGTTGCGGCTCTTCGACTTCACAAGCTTGGAGGGCCCCACCGGCCAGCTGCTGGTGGACAACGCGGACTACGGACGGCGAGAGTTTGTTGACGGGCTGGTCATTGGCGGACTCGAGAATCCCAGTGAGAGCTCGAAACATCCGAGTTACCCTTTCGAGCCCAGGGGGGCGGTTCGATATTGTAGCTCTGGCTACAGCTTGCAACTATCAGGGCCCTCCCTCTCGAGTCGAGAGGTGCTCCCATTCGCCCCCATTCGATTTTCACCCCAGGTAAATTAGTAGCCTAGGCCTAGGCAGTTCAATTCGGGCTGCCGCATACTTCCGCCACCGCCCTTGCGGAAGCGTTGCGGCAATGTTGGCATTGCAACACCGTTAGCGCTCTTCGGAGTCTCTCGGTGGCGTTCTGGCAGCCTTTGCAAGCTCTGTTGGGCCCCAGGTGGGACATCTGGGCCGCTGATGGGTCTTGGGGTAGTTGTTGAGCTTGCGGTTGTGTGATGGGGCTCTTGGAGCCGGTCTGCGGTGCCTGGAGGCGCCCTCTGGGGGAGTCTTGGGGCCGTCTTGGGCTGGTCTCGCACGGTCTCGGATTGGTCTCAGGGAGCTCTTGGGCCATCTAAGGTCTGCCTTTGGGGAGTCTTTTGCCGCTTGGGGGACTTCTGTATGGAAAGCCATTTGGAGCGTCATGCCCCCGTCTAGGGAGTCTCGAAGGGCGTCCAGGAGTTACTAGATGCAACTCGAGGCATTTCCTGCGTGGCATGACGATGAATCCGAATTATGGATGGGTTCATCCCTGTGTTCGAAATTCCGGCAGCATCGTGGAGATCTCAGAGCGGGCCCATCGGTGGCCTTCTGAAGTCGTTGGAATCTTTGAAGCGTTCCGAATGATCGTGTTGGGCTGTTGGCTGGCATCTTCGGACCGTCTCGATGGACCACGAACGGCCCCTCTGATCGTTGCGCTTCGGCTCATATCATGCTCGGAGCGGTGATGGATCGCAGGGAGAAGGAGGGAGAGAAGGAGATGGGCGGACATGTTCCTTTCACGCAGAGGGAAAGGTGAAGATGGATCAGAAGGGAGCGGGGAGGAGACGAGGAAGCATAATATCAACATGCCATCATAATGATACAGTGCGTTTCACAATGTCCATGGTTCCCTTTCCTTGGTGCGCAATCCCGGGACTCGGGCCGCTAGGTAGTCCAGATGTTCGGGAACGTACCCTGAGCCAGTCGCGTCATGATGTCACTCTCGTCCCCTGGTACCCATCGGTCGTTGAAAGTAGTTTTTTGTTGATTCAGGTATTATTGGGGTTCGCATATCCCAATCTACTTGAAGCGCCTTCCTACTTCAATCAATCAAACAAGCGTTTGTCCCTTGTCCTTCATCTGTGAGGGGCGGGCGGGAACCAAAGCTACTTTCAACGCCTTCCTACTTCGTGCTTCCACCCGCTTCTTCCGCACGATGGGTACCTCGACGCCGTGTTTTTACCTAACAGCGAAGACTGATAGGCTTCTAGTAGGCTCAAAAGAAAGCATCATGACGCCCCAGGGGGTCTGGGCAGATGCCGGACGGGTGCCGGGGAGAATCCGCGGAAGTCGTTTTAAGCAAACAGTTCCACACTTCGTGGTCTTCGAGGTCCCAGAACTCCACTCCCGGGCCACATTCTGAATGCCCGGAGCCAACTGTAGGCCTCTTCGTGGTCTTCGAGATCCCAGAACTCCATTCCCGGGCCACATTTTGAATGCCCAGAGCCAACTGTAGGCCTTTTCGTGGTCTTCGAGTTCCCAGAACTCCATTCCCGGGCCACATTTTGAATGCCCGGAGCCAACTGTAGGCCTCTTCGTGGTCTTCGAGTTCCCAGAACCTCATTCCCGGGCCACATTTTGAATGCCCGGAGCCAACTGTAGGCCACTTCGTGTTCTTCGAGTTCCCAGAACCTCATTCCCGGGCCACATTTTGAATGCTGAGGCATGCTGATGCTGAGGCTGAGGCAGGCTGAGGGTGAGGCAGGCTGAGGCTGAGGCCGAGGCTGAAGGCAGACTGAGGCTGAGGCTGAAGCAGGCTGCGGCTGAGGCTGAGGCAGGCTGAGGCTGAGGCTGAGGCAGGCTGATGCTGAGGCAGGCTGGGGCTGAGGCTGAGGCTGATGCAGGCTGAGGCTGAGGCAGCCTGAGGCTGAGGCCGAGGCTGAAGGCAGACTGAGGCTGAGGCTGAAGCAGGCTGAGGCTGAGGCTGAGGCAGGCTGAGGCTGTGACTGCGACTGCCGTTGCTACTGCGACTATCATCGCGAATGCGACTACGACTGCGAGAGGAGGAGGAGGGGCGAGGGAAGGCCGCCGCCCCGCCAGAGGTCTCCCGCACGTCCGCGGGGGCTCCACCGGTGGGCCGTCGAACGGGTGCCTCTTGGGGCGTCATTGGGCCCTCGTGGAGGCCACCTTGGGGCCACCTCGGGGGCACCACCTCGGGGCCGTCGCGGGGAGGGCCCGGGAAAGGGAGGCTGCCGCCGCGCCCGGGAGAACCAGGTAGCGCACAGTCCATACAGCATGACATCCACGAGGGCGGCGACTATGACGACGACGACGACGCCGACGACGACGCCGACGACGACGCCGACGACGACGACGACCACGACGCCGACGCTCACGCCGACGCCGACGCCGACGACGACGACGACGCCGACGCCAACGCCGACGCCGACCCCGACGCCGACGCCGACGCCGACGCCGACGACGCCGACGACGACCACGACCACGACTCCGACGCAAACGACGCCGCCGACGACGACGACGACGACGACGACCCACGACGACGGGGGAGGAGGAGGATCAGCAGGAGGAGGAGGAGGAGGAGGAGGAGGAGGAGGAGGAGGAGGAGAAGGAGGAGGAGGAAAATGAGGAGGAAGAGGAGGAGGAGGAGGAGGAGGAGGAGGACGAGGACGAGGAGGAGGAGGAGGGCGAGAATGAGGAGGAAGAGGAGGAGGGAGGATGAGGGAGGAGGAGGAGGACGAGGAGGTGGAAGAGGAGGAGGCGGAGGTCGAGGAGGAGGCATGCCGTGGGGGGCAGACGACGACGAGCCGCTCGCCAGAGGTCGCCGCGGCGCGGCGCGGAGGGCCGCCGCCTGCGGGCGCGGCGGCCAGCGCGCCGGCGGGCACCGTCTCGGCGCGGGAGGCCCGGAGCGCGCAGCGCGTGGTGGACGCGGTGTTGGCCGCCCCGGCAGCGCGCAGGGGCCTCCATGTATCTCAAACAGTGGCGAAGCGTCCTGGCTCGCCTATAGCCCCACCAAACAATGTTCTAAAAACCTTTTATTGTTTCCACGAAGTGTTCTTAGAACATTTCTGGCTGGGACTGCTCTTTTTTAACACATCGGGTCGACGTTCTAAGAACATTGTGTTGTTGTTCTTCGAACATTTGTGGGTTCTAAGAACATTTCGTGGTATGACTGTATGAATGGCGGGACGGTCGGTCCCTGCTCAAGTATCGGGGGCGGACAGACCTCCTACCATGACACGTCGATGAAGGAAGTGGCCGCTTTCTGTTCGCGAGAGGGCGTCGCGGCTCCAGGTCCGTCGGTTTCGGTCCCAGGCCGTTTTTTGACTAATGGGAGGTTTATTAAAGGGAGGTTTGTATCACCGAGCGCGTTCCACTGCTCGCAAAATGACTACTCGCAAACGCTCGAAGCAAAAGCAGAGTTTAGCCCCAACGTGATGGATCGCAGATCCCCCCACGGCGGACCCAGCCCATTTTCGAGTGGTTACCTTGCGAGTGCTGGAACGCGCCTGTCTGAGGTGGGCCGCGTGAAAAAAACGGGGTCGTCTTCGCCGACATCGACGCGTGAGCTGCCCGCGGAAGGTCGCGCGTATCCGGCGATCGCAGACATGGATCGAGGGGGCGTGCATTAGCGGCGGGCCCCGTTTCCATGGGACATCGCGGACTTCCGCCGCCGAGCGAGGCGGCACAGGCCGCATTTTGGGGGAGGGCACCTCTCCCGATCCATGGAGTTGGCGACCGCGCCGAGTCCACGGATCGCGCGCAGGGGCCTCCGGGTATCGCCGAGCGCGTGCCACTGCTCGCAAAAATGCCTGCTCGCAAGCGCTGGGAGCAAAGGCGGAGTTTGGCCCCGACGTGGTGGATCGTGAATCCCCCCACGGCGGATCCAGCCCAGTTTCAAGCAGTTGCCTTGCGAGTGCTGGCACGCGCCTGGCTGAGGTGGGCCGCGTAAAAAAAACGGGGACGTCTTCGCCGACGTTGACGCGTGAGCCGCCCGGGTGAGCTTAAGTCGGGCTTGCCCCTCCACAGGAGGAACATCAAACGATAGTCAACACATAGCCTGCGGACTGTTTTTCTATATTTTTTTGGCATCGCTACATATCTGTTTAATTGTTTTTAATATTTCCTCGAACATCGGCCTGTAGGGGGACAGGCCCGACCTAAGCGTAAGGTCGCGAGTAAGCTCCCTCGTCCCCAGTGTAGCGTGCCGCGCTAGCGGCCCGCGTGATCCGCCGCGTAAGGTCGTTGTGCCATCTCGTGCAATACCTGTTTTTTTATCGACGCTCAGTTGCAGTCGCAGCCCGGCATCGCTCGGACGTGTGCATCTTTTTCTCGGCAGGGACCCTCGATGAGCATGTGGGGTCCTCCTGCGACGAAAAATCACGCCCGAGACCGACTGATGCACTGGGAATGGACGTCCGAGCGATGGCGAGACGGGGGGTCGTCTGGGGATCGTTCCCTCTGCCATTCTCGCTAGCGCCCGCGCCCGCGACGACGCCGACGCCGACTCCGACGACGTCCTCCCTGTTCCTCCGTTGCATCTCCCTTTCTGTCTCACTTCCGCCTCCTCCTTCTCCTCCCCGTCCGCTTCTTGACAGGGGACTCATTCGAATGCTGTGCCTCCTCTCTTCCTCTTCTCCTTCCTTCCTCCTCCTCCTCCTCCTCCTTCCTCCTTCCTCCTCTCCTCCTCCTCCTACCTCTCCTCCTCCCTCCTCCTCCTCCTCGCCCCCCCTTCTACTTTCCACTCCTTCTCCTCCACCTCATCCACCTCATCGTTCTCCCTTCTCCTAGGGATGTCGTGTCGGGGGGATCGCTCATCATCAATCCCTCCTTCTCCTTTCCCCTCATTCCCCGCGTCCCTCATCCTCCTGTCCCCTCGTTCTCCTCCCACCTCTTCATCCTCCTCCTCCCCATCCTCCTCCTCCCCATCCTCCTCCCCTGGTGGTGAGGAGGCTGCCTGACTGCATCGGAGAAGCGGCCCTTCGCCAGAGTGGCCACTGGTGCGTCGTCGGTCCTCGCGGGCTGTCCAGCCTCGGGATGCTTATCCGCAGCTGCGCCTCGCCGAGAGATTCCCGGGGCGTCCCTCCTCCTCCTCCCTCCTCCTCCTCCTCCTCCTCCTCCTCCTCCCTAGGTCGTCCCGATCGGACGCCAGAGACCCGAGCTATGACCCGAAGGCCCGAGTGGCCTTCGGCGCGGGCCCACCGGGGCCCCCTCCCACCGCCGAGCGCGGTGCGACGGCAGCGGCCAGCGCGCCCCGGGTTCCTCCCCCCCCCCGCGCCCCGCTCGGGCCGCGCACCAAGAGGCCACTCTCGCCTGGGGTCCCGTCGGGCCTGTGTCCCTCCACAGGAGGAACATTCGAACGTAATCATCACAAGAGTCCATATGGACGCTTTTGTTTTGGTGTCTGATCATTTGTTTCGTTCCTTGGATTTTAGTTTGACTATGTTTTGGGTATTGTGAATTTTTTGTCGTCCAAAATTTGCCTGTGGGCGTACATGGTCGACGTAAGAGCCCAGGGCCGGGTCCCTCCCTGCGTGCAGCCGATCCTCTGGCGGCGATTGGGTCGACGTGTTGTACGGGTGACGGCGCGCGCGGGCCGGCCGGGCACGCGTCGCTCCCGAGGGCGAGGGCCTGTCTAGGCCTTCCAGATGGGGCCCGAGTATATTCGGGGGGGCGGCCAAGGGGGGGGGGTGATGACCAGGGGGGGTACCATGGCGTGGGCCATGATAACGCCCCAGCTTTCATGGCGCTTCTTCTTCTTATTCCAGCTCGTTCCCTGGCCCAACGCTGGGCCGCGCACATGCCTCGGGCCATGATTTGCACCCCCCCCTCTTGGACGGCCCGCCTCTTGGCCGCTCCCGATATACGGGGTCGGAGGATCGCGTCGCATCGCCGATGCATCGACGATGTGGCTGCGTCACCACTGCATCGCCGATGCATCGCTGATGGATCGGCGATGCATTGACGATGCGGCGCGATGCTTCGACCCCATCTACTCGGACCCCATCTACGGGGCGTCTAGTTTGGGCGCTCGAAACGTTGACGGAAGCAAGGGGTACGATGCCCAACAACGTCGTCCAAAATCGGTAGCGGCCGCTGTGGGGCAGGCGACTTTCTGTATCAGTCGAACGACGTCCGCGTCGAGAATGTCGGCGAGCCCGGTTCAACTGAGCAGGAGTTGTTGCCTTTCTTCGTGCCCATCTCATCGTACGGCAGGTTCATGAGGCGTTGGCGTGCCGGCGACACTGGCGAAGGCGTTCAAGGCTGCATTCTGCGACGCGGAGGCACCCAGTGACACGGAGACGCCACTCGACCCGACGGAATTCAGCCTTAATCGATCGGGGCCGCGATCGATTCAAGATTGAACGAGCGACGCGGTCTCAAAAATCTTTGGCGCGTGCCGACGCCGCACGAAGCTAACGTACCCATTTCGATCGCACCGAGATGATGGGCTAACTTACCACCACTACCTTAGGCAGGACGGGGGAGAAGGGAGGAATGGGAGGGCCTCCTCCTCCTCTTCCTCCCCTTTGTCCTCCTCCTCCTACACCTCCTCCTCCTCCTCCTCCTCCTCCACCTCATCCTCCTCCTCCCCCTCTTTCTCTTCTCCCTCTCCTATCTGTGGTAGCGGTGGTTGGAAACATCGGCCCGTCACGAGAGCTGGGAAGTGGTGGCAGCCTGCCCAATCCGAGACCACCTGGCCTTCGAGCACCGCGCCCCTTTTGGAGGGAGGAGGAGGAGGAGGAGGAGGAGGAGGAGGAGGAGGAGGAGGAGGAGGAGAGGAGGAGGAGACGGAGGAGGAGGAGGAGGAGGGGGAGGAGGAGGAGGAGAAGGAGGAGGAGGAGGAGGAGGAGGGAGGAAGGAGGGGAGGAGGAGGAGGAGGAGGAGGGGGGAGGGGAGGGAGGGGGAGGGGGAGGGGGAGGGGGAGGGGGAGGCATGGAGGAGAAGGGGAAGGAGGATAGGGGGAAGAGGAGGAGGGGGAAGAGGAGGAGGAGGAGGAGGAGGAAGAGGAGGAGGAGAAGGAGGAGGAGGAGGGGGAAGAGGAGGAGGAGGAGGAGGAGGAGGAGGAGGAGAAGGAGGGGACCTCCGCGACCTCGCTCTGCCCCGGGGATGCAGGATCGCCCCAGCGGCCCTGGCCCCGGCGCGGGAAGCGCGATGTTTTCGCTTCGCTCCGTCGGGGGTGACCGCCCGCTCCCTCCTCCCGCCCTCTCCCTCCCCTGGGACGCGAGTGGGCTCGGCGGAGCCTTCCTCTCCTCCCCGTCCTCTCCCTCCTTTGGGCCCAGGCCGCCTTGCGACCGAGAAAGTCACGATGCAACAGGTTGGGCAAGTGTTGGCCTCCGGGAGCCTCTTCGCGCCCGTGGGGGGGGGACCTGCAGCGGAAACCCATCCCAGGAAACACCCTGCTGGCCTCCAGAGTGCCCTGGTGATAGTTGGTTTATTCATGGTTTTGCCGATCGGCGCGGGCCCTCGCACCCCCCCGCCCTGGAGTAGATCTTGGCTGTTTGGGGCGCCTGTTCCAGGCAGGGGGAGTCTCCCGCATCGGACGCACTGTTGCAAACAGTCGCCCTAAGCAGAGGTCTTGAGCCAAACCCCCCCCGTCCCTTGCGCCCAATGCCGAAACGCCGAACGAGAAAACGTTCGGGACTCTTGGGCTTCGATGGTTTTGTTATGGACGGCGTGGCGGTCCCACCAACCCATTTGGTATCTGAGCCCCACCATCCCACCACCCTATTTGGGAAGAGGCCCCTCGAAACCCGAAGGGGAACAGCCCAGATCCCCATCGAAGAGGGGGGCGCACATCGGCCAGGGGGGCCCAGCGGGGACAGGGATCGGTTGTTTAGACTCCCAGCTCTCCGACGCCATGATTGTTTAATCTTGGCGTTTTCTTCTTTGTTTGGGCCATTGGGGCCCGTTGTCGGGCCCCCTCCTTTTCCTCCTCCTCCTCCTCCTCCTCCTCCTCAGCCTCCTCCTCCTCTCGGGCCTCCTCCTTCTCCTCCTCCCTTTCCCCTCCTCGTCCCCCCCCCCCTCCTCGGCTTACTGCTCCTCCTCCTCCTCCTCCTCCTACTCCTCCTCCTCCTCCCTCCTGGAGGAGGGAGGAGGGGCAGGCTCCCGGGCGATAACAGTGGTCCCGGGGAGGACGGCGGAACCTTCCTGGGGGCTGCGTGTGGAAAACAACTCCGAGCGTCCGATGTCTGGGCTGCGGGGTGCCAAGGGGGGCCACCCTTTCCTTTGTGGACATCGAGGATCCCTGATTCTCGACCCCTAAAAGTGATTCTCGATCCTTTGTAGGGGTCGAGGATCGAGGGTCGAGGTGTTGCAGGTTGTTGGCCGTCTTTGGGAAGAGATGGCTGCCCCCACGGTGAGGGCGCCCCTTGGCGCTGCCTGGGGGAAGCCCCGGGCCCAAATACCCGTGGCTCCTCCAGACCATGTTCCATGTCTTGCGCCAGCGCACGACGTGCGCCAGACGCTCCCGGGCCCCAAAGGCGGGCCTCAGGAGAGCGCCCCCCCCGCCGCAACGTCTCGGGGTAGGGCGGGCTCGAACGCATCGTCGTCCAGAGCCCAGGTGATTCACACGGGGCGCGATGTTGATCGCGCTTGGCGGTCTGGGCCGAAGGACCGCCCTTCCTCACAGACGCCCGTCTAACTGCCGTTTGCTGAACGGTCCTGGGCGTTCACCGAGCAGCCCTGGTCTGCGTTGACGCCATCCTGGGCGCGCTCAACAGCTGAAACTGCTTCGCCGGCGGGGGCGTGTTACAGTGGAGGCCCATGCCAAGAAACACCCTCCTTGCCTCCAGGGTGCCCTGGGTTTCTTGGGTTTCGATGGCTTTGTTATGGGGAGCGCGACGTTCCCTTACCAAAAATCCATGGACGTCCTGGGGTTTCAGGGCTGGGTTTCTTGTGGAAGGTTTCTCGTGGTCGGGCGCCTACTGTAACGATGAGTTTGGCTCTTCTGCTGTCTGCTTCTGCGGGGTGGCCGCGCAAGGAAAACCAAGCTCGTCTGGTAGTATTATTACTAGTAGTAGCAGTAGTAGTAGTAGTAGTAGTAGTAGTAGTAGTAGTAGTAGTAGTAGTAGTAGTAGTAGTAGTAGTAGTAGTAGTAGTAGTAGTAGTAGTAGTAGTAGTAGTAGTAGTAGTAGTAGTAGTAGTAGTAGTAGTAGTAGTAGTAGTAGTAGTAGTAGTAGTAGTAGTAGTAGTAGTAACCGTAGTAGTAGTAGTAGTAGTAGTAGTAGTAGTAGGAGTAGGAGTAGGAGTAGGAGTAGGAGTAGTAGTAGGTAGTAGTAGTAGTAGTAGTAGTAGTAGTAGTAGTCGTAGTAGTAGTAGTAGTAGCAGTAGTAGTAGTAGTAGTAGTAGTAGTAGTAGTAGTAGTAGTAGTCGTAGTCGTAGTTCGTAGTAGTGTAGTAGTAGTAGTAGTAGTAGTAGTAGTAGTAGTAGTAGTAGTAGTAGTAGTAGTAGTAGTAGTGGTAGTAGTAGTAGGGTGTAGTAGTAGTAGTAGTAGTAGTAGTAGTAGTAGTAGTAGTAGTAGTAGTAGTAGTAGTAGAAGTAGTCGTCGTAGAAAGTAGTTAGTAGTAGTAGTAGTAGTAGTTAGTAGTAGTAGAAGTAGTAGTAGTCGCAGTAGTAGTAGTAGTAGTAGTAGTTTTAGTTAGTAGTAGTAGTAGTAGTAGTAGTAGTAGTGTGGTGATAGTCGTCGCGATGGTAGTGGTGGTGGTAGTAGTAGTAGTAGTAGTAGTAGTAGTAGTAGTAGTAGTAGTGGTAGCAGTAGTAGCAGTAGTATTAGAAGTAGTAGTAGCAGTAGTAGTAGTAGTAGTCGCAATGGTAGTAGTAATAATAGTAGTAGTAGTAGCAGCAGCAGTAGTAGTAGTAGTAGTAGTAGTAGTAGTAGCGGCAGTAGTAGTAGCAGTAGTAGTAGCAGTAGTTGTAGTAGCAGTGTAGCCGTAGTAGTAGTGATCGTCGTCGTAGTAGTAGTCGTAGTAGTACTATTGTTGTTCATAATAATATTATTATTATTATTAGTAGTAGTAGAAGTAGTAGTAAGCGTAGTAGCAGTAGTAGTAGTAGTAGTAGTAGTAGTAGTCGTAGTAGTCGTAGTAGTAGTAGTAGTAGTAGTAGTAGTAGTAGTGGTAGTAGTAGTAGTCGCAGTCGTAGTCGTAGTCGTAGTCGTAGTCGTAGTAGTAGTAGTAGTAGTAGTAGTAGTAGTAGTAGTTGTAGTAGTAGTAGTAGTAGTACTCGTAGTAGTAGTTGTAGTTGTAGTTGTAGTTGTAATTGTAGTAGTAGTAGTTTGCGGGAATCTCTGTTCAGGCTTTGAGTGGTCTTCCATGGGGCCGAACCGGGGAGGCATAAGACGGATTTGCAACATTATCCTTTGTTCAGAACAAGAGATTGCAACAGCCCTTTTGGGCGTAACAACGCACTGTGCAACACGCCTTTTGGGCCTCACAACGCACTGTGCAACACGCCTTTTGGGCTTGCCCAGGCCTTGGTCCCCACGTTTTCGGAAGAGAGATCCGTTTTTGGCAGCTTGGAGTGTCGGTTCGTCGGCGATTGGTCGTTGTGCGTCCGCTATTGTTGTTGTTGGTTGTTGTTGCTGGCTGGTTGCTGGGTTGTTGTCGTTGTGATGTTGGGTGTTGTTAGCTATTGTTGGCTGTTGGGCTGGTTGGTTTGGTTGGCTGGGTGTTGGGCGGATGTCTTTTTGAATGTCGTTGGAGTGTTTTTTGTTGCTAGCTGTTGGGCTGGTCGGTTGGGGTTGGCTGGCTGTTGGGTCCCGTTGGGTGGTTGTCAATGTGATGTTGATGTTAGTTGGTTAGTTGGTGGTTGGTTGTTGCGTTGTGTCGCTGTCTGGTTGGGTTGGGATGGTTGGGGTTGCGTTGGTTGGGTTGGTTGGGTCGTTGGTGGCGTTTGGGGAATGGTCTGTCATGGTTAGAGATGGTTGGTTGGTGGGTTGGTTGGGTTCGTTTGGTTGGTTGGTTGGTCGGGTTGGTTTGGGAGTGTTGGGGGTGGTTGGGTTGCTTGGGTTGGTTGGTGCTGGGTGCTGGTGGTTGGGGCTGGCCCTGGGGTGCTGTTGAGGCTGGTTTATGTTGCTTGGTGTTGGTTGGGGTGGGTTGTGGTTGTTGGTTGGCTGGAATGGTCCTTGGGGTGGTTGGGCGGCTGTCTGCCGCGGTGGTGGGTTGGTCGTTTTGTCCGTCTGTCCGTGCTCGTGGCTCAGGCCATTTTGGCGTTTGGTGGCCTCGGCCGGCTTGGACCGCCGGCTGGGGGGGGGGGCAACGTGTCGCGGAAGTGGGCAGCGGCTCTTGGACCCCTGGACCCCCTGGTCCCTGGACCCCTCGCCGGGTCCTTCGTCGTCGTCGTCGTCGTCGACGCCGTCGTAGTCAGTCTTACCGTTGGCCGCTCCCTACTTTCGCATCGCGTTGCCCCCCCCCTGGGCCCCCCCTGGCGCGGCCCGGAGCCCTGGCGGCGCCGCGGGGCCGATGGGCGACGACGACGACGGGCTCGTGTTCGTCGATGCCGCTGCCGCCCTGGCCGTGGTCCAGGCCCCAGCTCCTGCGGGCGGGCAGCGGAGGCGGAGCGCGGCGGCGGAGAGCAGCGAGGGGATGAAGAGGTTCTGGGACGCAGCGCCGGACCCCAGGGAAAACCCGTCGTCGTCGGCGTCGTCGTCGCCGCAGCCGCCGCCGTCGAAGTCGTCATCGTCGTCGTCGTCGTCGTCGTCGTCGTCGTCGTCGTTGTCGTCGTCGTCGTCGTCGTCGTCGTCGTCGTCGTCGTCGTCGGCGGCGGCGGCGGCGGCGGCGGCGGCGGCGGCGGCGTCAGCGTCGTCGTCGAGTTGTCGTCGTCGTCATTGTCGTCGTCGCGTCGTCGTCGTCGTCAGCAAGGAATGGCGGCGCCGGCTGCGCGGCAAGATGCTGACGGCGGCGAAGGTCGCATCCGCTGCCCGCAGGCGCGATGGGCGCCGAAGGAGGGGGAAGGGCGGAAACAGGGGGAGGATGAGGTACGGTGGGGGCGTTGGTTAAGGAATGTACCCTGGAGTCGGCCCTGGTGGGTTCCTTATCCGATGAGGGCGGCGGAGATACCCAGGGCCAGCGCACGACTGGAGCTGCGCCCGCCTCCAGACCCTGGATTCCTTATGCAAGGTTTCCTTATCCAATGCCTCCGCCGTATACGAAGTGTTGCCCCCGACCCCCAGGGATCGGGGGGGAAGAGCTTCGAAGATTCGCGGGCGGTTGTTCGCAGATTTTCTGCCGTTTTCGGCCCTTTTCGGGCCTCCGGAGGCCTCCGGAGAGCTCCGGGCACCTCCGGGGAACTCCTGGGGTCCAGATCGGGGGCGGGAGCAAAACTTGCCACCGCCGCAGGGCCGTAGGTGGAGGATGAGGCGGGAGGCGAACTAAGAGGAAGGAAACGAGGAGGACACTCCTCCTCCGAGCTCCTCCTCCTGCTCCTCCCCCTCCTCCCCTTTCCTGCCCCCTCCCCCCCTCCTCAACCTTCAACCTTCAATCCGAATGCCCTGGCCCCCCCCCCTAATCGGCCTCCAGAGGCGCCGCGACGCGCTCGTGGGCCAGCTGCTGAAGGTCAGCAGCGAGGCTCAGCGCTTGGGCCGTCGCGTGGTGCCTCACCGGGCCTCACCCCCTCCCCTCCCCTCCACCTGGTCGATTTCGGTGTTTTGTCGTTTTCGGCCTCCGGAGGCCGTTCTCGGGCCCGGGGGCCCTCAAAAAGCGGACCCGGGGTGCAAAACGGCGTCGGAGGGATCCCAGGAGAGCTCCGGGGACCGACTTTGAGCCGACTTCGGCCCTCCAGGGGGAGGAGGGGGAGGGAGGAGGAGAAGGAGGAGGAGGAGGAGGAGGAGGAGGAGGAGGAGGAGGAGGAAGAGGAGGAGAGGAGGAGGAGGAGGAGGAGGAGGAGGAGGAGGAGAAAGGCGAGAAGGAGGAGGAGCAGGAGCAGAAGCAGGGGCAGGCGGAGCAGAGGGAGCCAAAAGAGAAAGGGGAGGGGGAGGGAGAGGAAGAGGATAGGATAGGATGAGGAGGAAAAGGAGGAGGAGGGGGAGGCTCCCCGGGGGAGGACAAGGAAGCGGAAGAGGAGGATGTGGAATAACGCAGCGCAGGTACTGCGCACGGACGCGTCGCAGGGCGTCCGGGCCGTGGCCGTCAGGAAGAAGGAGCAGGAGCGGGGCAAGCTGGCGATTGAGTTCGAAGACATGCTCAAAATTGCGCGCGGCAAAGTTGGGACTCTGCGCGGGGCCGCTCGGATGAAGGAAGTGCACCCGAACACTTTGAAGCGCACCTTGTCTTTTGTCAGCTACACGGAGTTTGAGCACCAGTGCATGAAAGTGAAGGCGTTAGGCATTATGTTCGTTGGGCTGAAAAAACAGGGCGTGAAGTTCTTTGCTGGGCTGCGAACGGCGTGGGACGAGACGTCCGAGCGGCTCCGCCTGCGCGTGAACAAGGATCTCAAGGGCAATGCGGCCAGCAGTGCTTGGAGCGTCCTGGTCGTTCAGAACACGTTGTTCTACGGTTCCAACCTCGGCGCAGGCTTCCTAGAGGTGTACATCCCGCCACTGCCATTGATAGCCAACTCGTCCACGCATATCTACAACGCCATGAACAGTCATCCATTCCTCCTCGCGTTGCGGGACACAGTGGAGCAAGCCAAGAACAGCGCGGACACGTTCGTGGAGGTGCGGGAGGTCGACGGCCACGCCGCCAACGACAAACTGCACGCTTTCCTATTCAACGGAGAGGAGGAGAACGCTGCCCGGGACGATCGAAATGCTGCTTTGACGGTCCTTCAACGTTGTAAGAACCACACGGTGAATCTGATTATGGTCAGTTGTCTCGCTCTCCTGGGTGCCGCCCTCATCAATGACATGTACTGCGCGGTGCGCTTCTTCAAGATGGCTGGGCACTTCGCCAGGATTGTGAGCCGTTGCGACACACTTGCGAAGCGCGCGGTCTTTCGACCTGCGCCGGGCCCCGACGCGATCGAGGCGGCTAGAGCATACGGCCGA